AAAGGAGGGTCAACCAGTTATTAAGTCCAAAGGTTCACATACTTTTTCCTCCCTGCACTGTGAATGTTTACATGTTATGTGCAATTAAACCATGGCAACATCTAATGTTTGTGTAGTATTATGTACAGCAGACTGTGTTCTTCTATTGTTGTGACTTAGATGACGTTCAGAGCACATTTTATGCCCAATTCATGCAAAACTCCACGGAATCCCAAGGGGTTCACATACTTTTTCTTGCAACTGTATAAAGATGTCCAAAGCCTTGAATATGCCAATCAGTACTGTTAAATCACCTATTAAGAAGTGGAAAGTTCGGGGATCTCTTGATACCAAGCCAAGGTCAGGTAGACCAAAAAGACTGCAGCCATAACTGACAGAAGAATTATCCGGGACTCAAAGAAAAACCCACAGGCAACCGCAAAAGAAATACAGGCTGCTCTGGAAAAAGATGGTGTGGTTGTTTTTAAGGAGTACAATACGGTGATACTTGAACAAAATTAGCTGCATGGTCGAGGTGCCAGAAAGAAGCTTTTACTGCACCAATGCCACAAAAAATCCCGGTTACAATATGCCTGACAACACCTTGACATGCCTAACCGGGCCTTGTTGTGTCATTGTATCGGCCAGTTTTGAGTTTTGTATTGGCGCTCATGGACCCTTGCTCTTTGGTGTGTGTTTTTGTTTTTGTTTTTTTTTTTTTGCTTTTTTCTCTTTCTTTCTTCTCTGCTTTTCTTCTTTCCTTTTCTGTTTGTTTTGATGTGACAGTGGACAGCTGTCTTTAGTTGCGATAATCTGAGTTTCACTGATGTTGTTGTAACCTATGTGCCATTGATAGCCCCTACGTGGGCATACGTTTTGCCTTATTGGAATTAGAGCGTTGTCTGCTCTATTATGCATTTTCTATCGGTGCAATTGACAGCCCCTGCGTGGGCGTGTTTTGTTGCCTCTCTTTTATACTGTTTAAAATTAATAAAAACCATTGAAATACAAAAAGGAGCCAAACAACTATTTGATAATAAATGGCTTCATATGATCATCATCCTTCAATAAAAGAGCATTTTGTGGCATGATCAGTCATATTTTCAATATCAATGCCAAAATTTCACAATTTCTGCCAGGGTATGCAAACCTTTGAGCACAACTGTATACACGCAACATTTCACATAAGCAACTCAATCAGTGAAATTGTGAATTTACACTTCAGCAGAATTTATGCCAAAAGTGATTTCACAGCTATATCAATTTCGTTGAAATGCCTCCACTCATTCCTTTGTAGTACTAAAAAAAAAAAAAAAAAATTTTTTTTTTTTGAAATTTGAACAAATTTAAAAAAAGAGGCCAAAAAAAAAACCCAAACATTCAAAATATTGTGTAGCGCATGTATGTAGTTTTTTTAATTTAAAGCCAATATTTAAAGCCCAACTCTGGACACATCAGAAATGATCACTTGCAATAGAGCTGTACCTGCACTGTAAGGTTCAATACAGTGCCTTGAAAAAGTATTCATATCCCCTGAAATGTTCCACATTCTGTCATATTACAACCAAAAACGTAAATGTATTTTATTGGGGTTTTATGTGATAGAACAACACAAAGTGGCACATAATTGTGAAGTGGGAGGAAAATGATAAATGGTTTTCAACATTTTTGACAAAATAAATCTGTGAAAAGTGTGGAGTCAATACTTTGTAGGACCCCCTTTCACTGCAATTACAGCTGCAAGTCTTTTTGGGGATGTCTCTACCAGCTTTGCACATCTAGAGAGGGACATTTCTACCCATTCTTCTTTGCAGAATAGCTCAAGCTGTAAGATTGGATGGAGAGCGTCTGTGAATAGCAATTTTCAAGTCTTGCCACAGATTCTCCATTGGATTTAGGTCTGGACGGTGACGGCCATTCTAACACATGAATATGCTTTGATCTAAACCATTCCATTGTAGCTCTGGCTGGATGTTTCGGGTTGTTGTCCTGCTGGAAGGGGAACCTCCGCCCCAGTCTCAAGTCTTTTGCAGACTCTAACAGGTTTTCTTCTAAGATTGCCCTGTATTTGGCTCCATCCATCTTCCCATCAACTCTGACCAGCTTCCCTGTCCCTGCTGAAGAACAGCATCCCCACAACATGATGCTGCCACCACCATGTTTCACAGTGGTGATGGTCTGTTCAGGGTGATGTGCAGTGTTAGTCTTCCGCCATACGTAGTGTTTTGCTTTTAGGCCAAAAAGTTCAATTTTGGTCTCATCTGACCAGAGCACCTACTTCCACATGTTTGCTGTGTCCCCCACATGGCTTCTTGCAAACTGCAGTGGCTTATGGCTTTCTTTTATCAATGGCTTTCTTCTTGCCACTCTTCCATAAAGGCCAGATTTGTGAAGTGCACGACTAATAGTTGTCCTGTGGACAGATTCTCCCACCTGAGCTGTGGATCACTGCAGCTCCTCCAGAGTTACCATGGGCCTCTTGGCTGCTTCTCTGATTATTTCTCTCCTTGCCCGGCCTGTCAGTTTAGGTGGACGGCCATGTCTTGTTAGGTTTGCAGTTGTGCTATACACTTTCCAATTTTGAATGATGGATTGAACAGTGCTCTGAGATGTTCAAAGTTTGAGATTTTTTTTTTCATAACCTAACCCTGCTTTAAACTTCTCCACAATTTTATCCCTGACCTGTCTGGTGTGTTCCTTGGCCCTCATGATGCTGTTTGTTTACTAATGTTCTCTAACAATCCTCTGAAGGATTCACAGAACAGCTGTATTTATATTGAGATTATATCACACACAGGTGGACTCTGTTTACTAATTAGGTGACTTTTGAAGGAAATTGGCTTCACTAGATTTTAGTTAGGGGTATCAGAGTAAAGGGGGCTGAATACAAATGCACGCCACACTTTTCAGATATTTGTAAAAAAGTTGAAAACCGTTTATCATTTTCCTTCTACTTCACAATTATGTGCCACTTTGTGTTGGTCTATCACATAAAATCCCAATAAAATATATTTTCGTTTTGTTGATTGTAACATGATAAAATATGGAAACTTTCAAGGGGTATGAATACTTTTTCAAGGCACTGTAGCTTAGTTTGTCTAGGGGAGATGAGAAGCAGTTTTACTTACCCGATCTTCCACTCCCCCGGCAGGCGGTTCACCCCCCAACCCGGTGGTCGACTGTCCCTTGGCATACTCACATCCAGAACTGGGCTGTGGTCATGATGACGTCAGGACCGTAGACCAGTGGAGAGGAAGTGGCAGGGACTGGTCTTGCTTCAGGGAATACATTTTTCTTCAGTTCCCCTAGGCAAATTTGAGCAATTACTCCTTGCAGTGTAGGCAAGGCCCCATCCCTTGCAGTGGATATTGTTTTATTTGACTGGAGTTGGGCTTTAATAATATTTTAACTAATCTTTTTCATTAGTAAGGTAAATCTGAAAACAATACACAGAAATATTTTGTGTTTTCATTCTCAACATGGTTTACAAGTTTATCAGTCTATTCTTAGCTGCTCTACTGAAAAAAAAAAAAAAAAAAAGGTCAGTAGCTCAAGCTGAAATTTACACACTTTGCAGGAACACAAGGTTTTACATCTTACATCCAAGGCTGTAAATTAGACTTCCTGGGTCCCCATTTCAAGGGGTTTCTATCCCACTAGGCGGTAATGAAGCCAAACAACAGGGGCTCCCTAGCTGGGCCCCATTGGAGTCACATTGTCTCTCATGGCTTTAAACACACTTAAAAAACTCCAACAATGTCATCACTTATTGTGAGATGGCTTTCTAAAAGCGACCAATACAGGAAACATCCCATCAACCATCGGGACACGAGAACATTTCTCCACATTACTGGAGGTCAAAATACGGCAGGAAGTGGTGGCTCTACCAACAGAATGAGCTGACCCTGTGGTGTCACATCTCGTATTCATAGAACATCATTTGGAAACTGAAAAGGAACAACTTCTCAGAGGCACATCATTTCGAATTGCAGAGGCTGCAGAAACTCAGTGTAAATAAAAGTCTAACTTCATAGCCTTCTTCCATCCTACCATTCCTAACTTCTATCACCCTCCTCCATGTTACAAGGTTGCTAGTCCTAGAGGACCAAGCCTCCCATTTGTCTGAACCTACAATTCATTTTTATAACAGAATCTCGTTCTATCTCCTGACACATTCTATTTATCTGCATGCCTGCTCTCCCATAGCACATGAAACATGAGGCTGTCAGAGGTTCATCATACACAACAGCCAGACAAACCGGGTTGTTTGGGTTGTGTTCTCTTATCAACTCTCCCAGCAGCCATAGAAGGTTCAGTGAAATCTGAAAGTTTGGTTCTGGAACAAGTTTTGAGTCAAAGTAAAAAGGAGGGAGGATTAAAAACTGGAATTTCCTTTTGTCCAATGGGAAATTCAAAGATACCAATAATAGTGTGCACATTAGAGTGTAAGCTCCTAAGTTCAGAGACTGATATGAATGGCTCAGTATATGGCAGAGCTATATAAATGAATAATAATAATATTGGGCAGCACAGTGGCTAAATGGTTAGCACTTCCACCTGGCAGTACTCGGGTTGTTGGTTCGAATCCGAACCACGGCACCACCTGCCTGGAGCTTGCATGTTCTCCCTGTGCCTGCATGGGTTTCCTCTGGGTACTCCAGTTTCCTCCCACACTCCAAAGACATGCTGGTAGGTAAATTGGCTCCTGTCTAAATTGTCCCTAGTATGTGTATGTATGAATGTGAGTTAGGGACCTTAGTTTGTACACCCCTTGAGGGTTAGGGACTGATGTGAATGTATAATATATATGTAAAGTGCTGCATAAATTGACGGCGCTATAGAAGTACCTGAAATAAATATCCCACCACAGCCAGACATTAATAAGAATGTAAGCTCATCTCGTTCAAAGACTGTTGAAATTGATACAGCACTATGGAATATGTCAGAGCTATATAAACGTATAATAGTAATACTAATAATAGTGTGTGATTGTGGTAATCGACTCAGTATTCTCTGTACAGCACCACGAAGGGGCGGACTGACAACTCATGGGGCCCCCGGGCAATAGGGGATCATGGGGCCCCTGTGTCCTTGCCCAAACTCAAAAAAGCCTATGAAAAATGTACCGGGGCAACTCATGGGGCCCCCTTCTGACCCCGGGCCCTTGGGCAGTGCCCGAGTTTCCAAATGGTCAGTCCGCCCCTGGCACCACGGTATATCTCACAGCTATATAAATGTATAAAAATGAGAGTGTGGTGGGGACATTAGAGTTTAAGCTCATCTGCTTCAAAGGCTGATGAAATTGATACAGCACTATGGAATATGTCAGAGCTATATAAATGTATAATAGAAGTGTGTGACTCATTATTCTCTGTACAGCACCACAGTATGTCTCAGAGCTATATAAATGTTTATTAATAATAATAATAATAATAATAATAATAGTGTGAGACTGTAGTGGGGACATTAGAGTGTAAACTCCTCCTGTGAAGACACTGATGTGTACAGCACTGTGGTATACGTCAGAGCTATTAAAATTAACAATAATAATAGAGTGTGCCTGAGGTGGGACATTAGAGTGTAATCTTCTCTGGTGCAGAGACTAATATAAATGGTTTGCCGCTTTCTATACAGCACTGCAGTATATGTCAGAGCTATAGAAATTATTATTATACAGGCTTTATATAGCACCAACAGTCTGCGCAGCGCTTTACAAAATGAAGGCAGACATTACAGTTACAATACAATTTGGTACAAGAGGAAACAGAGCGCTTGTTAGAGCTTACAATCTAGGAGGAAGGGTTGAGGGATACAAAAGGTTATAGCTGTGGGGGGATGAGCTGATGGAGGAAATAAATGGCAGTTTACTAGGTAGAAGCAGGATAGGCTTCTTTAAAGAGAAAGGTTTTCAGGGATCATCTAAAGGTGGATAGATTAGGAGACAGCTGGACAGATTGGGGTAGGGAGTTCCATAGGATGGGAGAAGCTCGGGAGAGGTCTTGGAGAGGAGCATGGGAGGAGGTGACACAGGAACTAGAGAGCAGAAGGTCTTGGGAGGATGGAAGAAAGCGGTTTGGTTGATATTTTGAGACCAGGTTGGTGATGTAGCTGGGGGCAGAGTTATGGATGGCTTTGTAAGTCGTTGTTAGTATTTTGAATTTTATTCGTTGGGCGAGTGGAAGCCAGTGGAGGGATTGGCAGAGAGGGGTGGAGGACACTGATTGGAAGCCAGTGGAGGGACTGGCAGAGAGGGGTGGAGGACACTGATTGGAAGCCATTGGAGGGATTGGCAGAGAGGGGTGGAGGACACTGAGTGGAGGCCAGTGGAGAGACTGGCAGAGAGGGGTGGAGGACACTGATTGGAAGCCAGTGGAGGGATTGGCAGAGAGGGATGGAGGACACTCATTGGAAGCCATTGGAGGGATTGGCAGAGTGGGGAGGAGGACACTGATTGGAAGCCAGTGGAGGGATTGGCAGAGAGGGGTGGAGGGACACTGATTGGAAGCCAGTGGAGGGATTGGCAGAGAGGGGTGGAGGACACTGAATGTAAGCCAGTGGAGGAACTGGCAGAGAGGGGTGGAGGACACTGAATGTAAGCCAGTGGAGGGACTGGCAGAGAGGGGTGGAGGACACTGAATGTAAGCCAGTGGAGGGACTGGCAGAGAGGGGTGGAGGACACTGAATGTAAGCCAGTGGAGGGACTGGCAGAGAGGGGTGGAGGACACTGATTGGAAGCCAGTGGAGGGATTGGCAGAGAGGGGTAGCAGACACTGAATGGTTGGTAAGATGGATGACCCTGGCAGCAATATTCATGATGGACTGGAGGGGGGATATCCTACGTAAAGGTAAGCCAATGAGAAGGGAGTTGCAGTAAATCGAGCCGAGAGATAACCAGGGAGTGAATTAGCAGCTTTGTGGTATCATTGGTTAAAAAGGGGCGTATTCTGGAGATGTTGCAGAGGTTGAGGCGGCATGATTTGGACAGGGATTGGATGTGGGCCTGAAAGGATAGTTCAGAATCCAGGGTTACCCCTAGCACCCTGGTATGCAGGGATGGGTTGATAGTGGTGCTATTGGTCCTGACCGAGATATCAGGGGAAGAGGCACGTGGGGGAGAAAATAATATGAACTCAGTTTTGGTAGATTGAGTTTTAGGAAGTGGAGTGACATCCAGTCTGATATGTCTGTTAGTAAATCGGTGATATGTGTGGAAACTGATGGGGTGAGCTGAGGAGCAGAGAGATAGATTTGTGTGTCATCAGCATAGAAGTGGTATTGGAAGCCATAGGAAGCTATCAGCTGACCCAAGGAAGAGGTGTAGATGGAGAATAGGAGAGGTCCAAGGACAGAACCTTGTGGGACCCCAACAGTAAGAGGAGTAGGAAAGGAGGAAGTAGAGTTGTAAGTGACACTGAAGGTGCGGTGAGATAGGTAAGATTACAACCAACGGAGAGTACAGTCACGGAGACCAAGTAAATAGAGTTTTTTTAAGGAGGAGGGGGGTGGTCAACTGTGTCAAAGGCAGCGGAGAGGTCCAAGAGCAAGAGAACGGAATAGAGACCATTATATAAATGTAGACCAATATTAGTGTGATGTGAATGTACAATATATCTGTAAAGAGCTGCATAAATTGACAGCGCTATATAAGTACCTGAAATAATAATAATAGTGTGTGACTGTGGGAGGACATTTGAGTGTAAATTTTTGGTTTATTAAAATCTTGCAAACAAATAACATCATAAAAAATCATATTTACATATATACAGAATAAAATATATATAGTTAAACAAAATCAGCTTACTTCTGCAAAGTACTAACAAATCCTGACCGCCACCTAAACACCCGCTCAGGCTAAGAAACGATTAAACATTGATCCCATGCATGCAGCCTTTCTTCAAAAATCTGATGTTACAAAAATCTAGGGGACGTGAAAGGACAGAAAGAGAAGCCACACCCCCAGAGACTGACAGATAGCAGCTACGGGGACCTGACATTCCTCCACGCCTTTGTCCAGGCTCCCGGCCGCCACCTGTCCTTCTCAAGACCCCGAATCTTCCCAACCTCACCCAGAATGTAGGACATTAGAGTGTAAGCTCTTCTGGTGCAGAGACTGATGTGACTGTCTCAGTGTTCTTTGTACAGCACAGTGGTATATGTCAGAGCTATAAAAATGTATTATAATAATAATAATAATAATAAAATAATGTGTTTGGATATATCAGTCCCTTCCCTGCAGGAATGGGTCTCATTATATCCATGCTGGGATTTGGAGTTCCTTATATCAGTTGGTGGCAGATCTGTTGCCCATCACTGACAGAACCCCAGACAGAACAAAATGTTTCCAGGAAGTTCCAATCTATCAAATGGATTTCCTTGTATACATGTCTGGATTGCAGGGCCAGGATGGTTTATGGGCAGCCATCACACTGCGGAGGGGAGTCTGGGGTCTGCATTGATTATCTAACATTCCCCAGATGTGCAGCGTGGAGGGATGTGGAGCCAGAGCTGATCAGGCAAAAGCTGAGGGTCACCGCTCTACGGATGACATCACTGCACTTCTTTCTGTCCCGTTCAGAAGTGTTACTGGAATAGTTTAGACTCTGCAACACCAGAGAGTGTGTGTGGGGTTTACCTCTCATCTGACATCATGGAGGATACATTGATTGAGACAGGCTGTCCAACTAGAGGGCCAGGGGCCAGACACCTGTTCTTATTCCGTATGTTTGGACTCTGTACAGTACCACTTCTCCGATCTATATCCGGCCCGAACTGCCCATAAGGCATAACAGGCATCTGCCCGGTGGACAGGGGCCGCCTGGATATGAGGGTTGGCCAGGCGGCACACATCGGAACCAATCCATGCATTTCACTCCTGTAGCCACTGAATGCTTGCTTCTCCTCCTCTCCCTTCTGCAGGTATTGAGCTGCAGCAGGGGAGAAATGCACAGTCCGGTTCTTCTATGTGCCACCCGGCCGCCCCTCCTATGTATCTCCTGCTGCCCTGGGCTCCTGTATACTCCCCCGGTGGTTGGCCCCCCCTCGTCCCCCACTGCCGCTGGGTTCCCCCTTCCCTGCAGCTGCTGCGGAGGATCTGTCAAGATAGACTGTCCCCGGTGCCGACTGTTACCCCCGCCACCAAAGACGCTAGAGGAGAGATAAAAGCTGTCCCTCCTCCTCCCGCCCTCTCCTCCTGTGTCTGCCCAACCCACACTCCCCGGAAGTCTTGTGTCAGTCTCTCTCCTTCCTTCTCACCAAAACCCAATGGGGCTCCTAATAAAAAAAAAAAAAAGATTATAGAAATATAAAATTGTAAGACATTATGAAAAATGTAAATAAAAACCTACTGACACTAGTGGCCGAACTACCAGGGTCACAAAGGTCGCTCTTGCGACGACCTGGCCCTGGTGTCAGTCTAGAACAGTGGTCGGCAAGCCGCGGCTCGCGAGCCACATGCGGCTCTTTACCCAGTCTAATGCGGCTCTTCTGTGTGCCGGGCGCCTGCTCCCCTCCCTCCTCTCGGTCGGCCGCTCCCCTGCCTCCTCTCGGTTGGCAGCCCCAAAAGTCCGCGCGGACCTTTTAATCCGGCCTGCGCATGTGGCTGTCAGGATGTGTGTAGGCGGGGCAGCGTGCCGAACGTGAGGGGAGGGGAGCTAGGCTCCTCTCACAGTCCGCCCTGAAGACCCGAACGGCGCGGGAAGACAGCGAGAGGAACGCAAAAGGTAAGTGAATTGACACGGGGGACTTGGCTTACTAGAAGGGGGGGGGGGGGGGGGGGGGGGGGGGGAATAGTACTGTGGGGGATGAAATACTATATGAGGGATGAAATACTATATGGGGGGATGAAATACTATATGAGGGATGAAATACTATATGAGGGATGAATTACTATATGAGGGATGAATTACTATATGAGGGATGAAATACTATATGGGGGGATGAAATACTATATGGGGGGATGAAATACTATATGAGGGATGAATTACTATATGAGGGATGAAATACTATATGGGGGGATGAAATACTATATGAGGGATGAAATACTATATGGGGGATGAATTACTATATGAGGGATGAATTACTTTATGAGGGATGAAATACTATATGGGGGGATGAAATACTATATGAGGGATGAAATACTATATGAGGGATGAAATACTATATGGGGGGATGAAATACTATATGAGGGATGAATTACTATATGAGGGATGAAATACTATATGGGGGGATGAAATACTA